AAGCCTAGCACTCTATTACTTGAGCCGCAGTTCCACTTCCAGCTTTTTGGTGGTTAGAGATAAGAATCTTTTCCTGCCCAGCTGGCTTTGAACCTTGATCTTCAGATCTCAGCCTCCTATGTAACTAGGATTACAGGTGTGAGCCACTGACACCTAGCATCATTAATGATCCTTAATTCATAAACCTGTTGACCTTCTTGTTCCCAGGGTTATTTTAAATGAGTGCAGTGATAGAATTTTGAAAATGCATGTTCTTGACTAGGCACAAGATTAGAAGAGGTTCTGAAAACAAAGCAGATTCTAGCAAAAATCATTGACTTGAAAGAAACTTTATTTTGGATAGGTAACAATTCATTGTAGCAAAAGAAATTATTAGAGTATCAAAAGCAGTATTGAACCCGGGTCTTGGGCATGCTGGGTAAGCACTGGACTACAGAGCCACCTCTGCAGCTTGGCTGCTTCCTTTTGATTTTCCTCTTTCACACGAGCTATACAGTGTTTCTTTTTCAGTGTCTTCCTATTAGAGCTGTCTTTAGGTCTCATAGTCAATTGGATCTTTCCTTTAATGCTTCATTAACATTTCTCCTAGAATTTCTTGGCATTCTTCCCATGGTTTAGTCAGAATTTTACCTCTTAAAGAGCTTCCATCATAAATCATAGATTCAGTTGGCAGGGGCTGGGATGAATACAAATATTCATAGAAATAAATGTTCAGAAATACAGGAAGTTCTTCCAGCTACCTGTCACCTGTCAGTGTGAACATGTGTGGGTCAGCCATCTTGGATTTCACATGGTTACTGGATACTCACAGATGCCTGGGCTGGAGCTGCTACCCGACACGGAGCCCAGCCGTACCATGGAGACATCTACCCTAGTACGTACATCTCTGTCACCAGATACGATGAGTGATCGGCTAGGCAGTGGGACACAGCCCGGGGCCTCCGACATGTACCTGCACATTCAGTGACTGCTCAGACGTACAACATCTGAATGGCCGTGATACAGATCAACAAAGCCAGAAATACTCAGTACCTTATCCTTTAATAACTTGGTCTGTTAATCAGAAAACCATAACAGTTGCTGTTACTGATTCTTAGTAGAGACCAACTTGTCAAGCTTTCTTTTTTCTTCTTCTAGGTACTAGGGTTTGAAATCAGGGCCTCAAGCTCACTCAGCTTGGTTGCTCATAGCACTCTTAACACTTGAGCCATGCCTCCTACCATCTTTTTTTTTGGCCAGTTATTTGAAGATGGGGGTCTCTTAGACTTTTCTGCCTGGGCTGATTTTGAACAATGACCCTGTAGATCTTGTTGATCATGGGGCCTGAACTCTGGGCCTGGGCGCTGTCCTTTAGCTCTTCAGCTCAAGGCTAGCACTCTAGCACTTGCCACAGTGCCACTTCTGGCTTTTTCTTTTTGCTTATGTGGTGCTGAGGAATCGAACCCAGGGCCTCAGGCATGCAAGGCAAGCACTCTACCACTAAGCCACCTCCCCAGCCCGACCCTGTAGGTTTTAACTTCCTTAGTAGCTAGGATGAGAGGGATGAGCCAAGTATGTGCCCAGCCAAGTTCATTTGCTTTTGAAGTCAGTTGGCAGAAAATGTCTAAGGTAATATCCATATGTTAAGCCAGAATAGTATTTCTCCCGAATGCATTTCTTCCACAAGATGTTCTTCAAAGTGTTCAAGTACTGTACAATTTATTTATTTATTTATTTATTTTGTCAGTCATGGAGCTTGAACTTTGGGCTTGGGCGCTGTCCCTGAGCTCTTCAGCTCAAGGTGAGTGTTCTACCACTTGATCCACAGTGCCACCTCCGCTTCCAAAAGTGCACTTATTGGAGATCAGAGTCTCATGGACATTCCTGCCCAGGCTGGCTTTGAACTGTGAATCTCAGATCTCAGCCTCCTGAGTAACTAGGATTACAGGTGTGAGGCTCTGGCACCCAGCTATTTTTTTTTTAACCCTCTGTTAACTGATGATCCTCTTACCCCCAAAAGGTGATTTTGTTGTGCATTGAAAATCTATTTTATTTCCCACAGTGTAACTTCTAATGTTCTTTAATGTCCATTATGCTTATATATCTTCTTTTAAACACCTTCCACAATATTTCAGTTTTAGGAGGTCATGGTTTATATACTACCATGGTAGAATTTGGGAAGTCCTTAGATGCAGAAGGCTGAGAAAATGGGCCATTAGGGAAGGAAATCTGGCAGCAGGCAAGCAGCTAGGGAGGCAGAGATAACAGCCAGAGTTAAGAAAAACCCCAACACCATGATGTTCAGACAAGAATAGGTAACATAAAGTTCTTTTTCACTGTTATATAATGTTTCTCTTAAAAATGGAATGCTTACCTCTCCTTTTGACCTCCCAGTAGGCTGTCTCTTCTCTCCCTTGGATTTGTGGCTTTGTGTGTTTGTATGTGTAGATGTGAGCACCAAGGATACATCCTTAGTAGCTTTTTAAATTTGGATGAGCTAGTGTCTGTCAGATTATTTTTTAAATTATTTCCAGTTTTGATGCAAAATAAATATCAATATCAATTTTAGTTCTTAGAAAAAATTATTAAGAATATGATGAGTTGACCCAGCACAGTATAAAGTAACAAAAATAAAAGAAATACCAAAACAAAACAATTTAATTTTTGTCTGCATATTCCACAGCTTAGATGATGATGAGAAAGAAGTCCTGCTCTGTCATAATTGTACACCTGCCAAGTGTTTCACTGACCTTAATTTTGTCTGCAAATAGTACCCAGAAAGCAAGGAGAAAGTATGTCAGCCCTCCCAAGCCCAAAGAGCATATTGAAAGGACAATATGAACCTGAAAGATTCGTCGAAAGATGATAGGTCTTTAGCAAGAGTTGGACAGCATTGGGGGGGGGGGGGAGGAGGGTGCTGGAAATAAACTGAGCATGCTCAGGGTGGTACTGAACTCTGAATCCCAAGCACGTGCAGCTTTTCCTCCATGGTGGACTCCTTGCAGGTACCAAGGCTCTTCTGTGATGGTGTTGATCATCATATTGCTTATTGGCTGCCTGCCCTGGTCTAGGCCCTAGATAACAAAAATAAACCTGACTGTGGCATTTATTGCCTCATTAATCTGTGCGCTGTCCCTGGGGGGGGGGGGGGGATGAAAGAGATGGCGGATAATCTGGGGAGATGGAGAGTGACTGTATGTGGCCTAAGTAGTTGCTTGTTGTTATTTGCTGACAAGTAGGGCCTAGTTACTTCAATTGATTGGCATGGGAAATCTTGGTGTTCTCTATACATTTGTAATTACTTAGCTAGTTACAACTGATAATTTTCACTGACTTAATTTTTACTTTAACCTTTGGCACATCTATGTATATAATAATGTCATGTTCCTAGTTCTCTTAATTTCCTTCCTTTTGCTTGCACTGTTGTTGTTTTTGTTTGTTTTTTGTTTTTTTAAGGTTTTTTTTTTTAGATAGGATCTCACTATGTTGCCTAAGCTGGCCTGGAACTCACAATCCTCATAACTTAGTTTAGCCCCTCAAGTGCTGAGATTACAAGTACGCCTCACAACTCCTGGATTTTCTTTCCCCTCAAAGGGACAGGTCTCAGGTCTCTCTATATTGTCCAGGCTGAGTGAACTCTTGGGCCTAAGTGATTTTTTTTTTCTGGTTGTGGGGCTTGAACTCAGGGCCAGGGCGCTATCCCTAAGCTCTTCTGCTCGAGCTCATGCTCTACTACTTTGAGCCACAGCACCACTTCTGGTTTTTGAGTAGTTTATTGGAGATAAGAGTTTCACAGACATTCCTGTCCTAGCAGACTTCAAACTGTGATCCTCAGATCCTCCTGAAGTAGCTAGGATTACAGGCATGAGCAATCAGTGCCCAACCCTAAGTGATTTTTACACCTCAGCTTTCCAAATAGCTGGACCAGAGGGTCATACCACTGTGACTGACTTTTCCTATTATGTTGAATGATTTGTCATCTTTCATTTAGTTGGTTAGATTCCAGGATAATGTGTAACAGTCTGGAATTTAAACAGGAACCTTCAAATTCTGCTAAACTGCAAGAGTGATAGGGACAGTCCTGGAGAAATCGGCAAGCATTGTTCTCCTAAGCCACATGCCTGTCAGTGTGTCTGCAATGTGAGCCTTTGTTCTGTGTCTTAGTCATCGGATTGCAAGTGGTTTTATTATTTTATGTTATGTTGTTTACAGAAGAAAGTGAACTGTGCTTTAACACCTCTTTCAGAACTGGTAGAGGGGACACCCCTCAGTGTTTGGACAAGAGGGCGGGATTTGGGGATTTTGGTGTTACTCCTGGAAACCATCCAAGAAATGCCCTTGGAGTTTTCTGTACACTCTGAGGGCTTAAGCGTGGACAGAAGAGAAAGGGGTCACCTTAGGCTGGTGCTGAGCTGGGTGAGAGAGAGGCTTTTGTAAATAGGAGGTGGAGAGTCTTTCACTGAGGCTAGGGGGGGATGTGGGAGCTTGGGCCCTGGGGCCCACAGCCTCCACTGACCTGCCCGAGGGTGAAGCTGTGATGGTTTGCGGCTTAGTCCTGGGGCTTGACTTTTTGAAGTCATCTTGCTTTCCTGTTGTTCCACTCCTGAACTTGTCTGGGAACCATTCCTAGGAGGCTAACCTACAAAGTGACTAAAAAAAATTTTTTTTGTCGGTTGTGAGACTTGAACTCAGGGCCTAGACACTGTCTGAGCTTTTGGGGGCTCAAGGCTAGAACTCTACCACTTGAGCCACCGCACCTCTTCCAGTTTTTGAGTGGTTAATTGGAGATAAGAATCTCACATGGACTTTTCTGCCCAGGCTGGCTTCAAGCCATGATCCTCAGATCTCAGCCTCCCGAGTAGCTAGGATTACAGGCGTGAGCCACTGGTGCTCTGCTCTACAAAGTGATTTTTTAATAGGTAAGGCCCCTCTTGTTTTCTGGATTCCTCAAATGGGATACATTCATTTTACATTGGTCTTCTGTTCTATGTTCTTGCCTGGCAGATGATTTTAAATGCAGGATGCAGAATTTCTGCTACCTCTACTACTTAAGGCTTAGGAACCGGATGAAAGCATTGAGAAATGGTGAGGTCAGTTTCAATGGAGCACCTGTGGCAATATGTCAGCACCACTTCCAAGGAAGTTAGGTCACAAGGCAGTGGATGTAATTGTAGGTGCTGAATCTTAGTATCTTTTCCTTCTTCCCTCCCTTCTTTTTTCTTTCCTTCTTTCATTTTTCTTTTTCCTTATGTTTGTTCTTTCTCTCTCTCTCTCTTTTCCTTTCTCTCTCTCTCTCAGTAATTCCAGAGTTTGAACTCTTGGCCTTTTACTTCCTAGCCCATGCCTCCAGTCTATTATTATTATTATTTTGTTTTTGTCAGCCATGGGGCTTGAACTCAGGGCCTGGGAGATGCCCTGGAGCTGTTTCACTCAAGGCTAGTGCTCTGCCACTTTGAGTCACAGCTCCACTTCCAGCTTTCTAGTGATTAATTGGATTAAGAGTCTCGCAGACTTTCCTGCTCCAGCTGACTTTGAACTACAGTCCTCAGATCTCAGCCTCCTAAGAAGTTAAGATCACAGGCATGAGCCACTAGCACCTGGCATTTTTCATTATTTTTGAAGAGTCTTGCATTTATGCCCTTGGGCTGGGCTTAATCTAAGATCTTCCTATTTATACTCCCCTCATATCTGGGATGACATGCACACACCATCATGTTCAGCTTCTTTTTGGTTTAGATATGGTTTCATTTTTTGCTGGGACTTGCCTTGAACCATAATCCTTCCTATCTCTGACTCTTAAGTAGCTATGATTACAGGTGTGAACTACTATGCCTAGTTTAGGGCAGTCATTAGGAATAGAAACTTTTCTGGAAATTTTAGATAGAGGTTCTCACTACCTCTGGCAGGAAGGAAGGAAGGAAGGAAGGAAGGAAGGAAGGAAGGAAGGAAGGAAGGAAGGAAGGAAGGAAGGAAGGAAGGAAAAGAAAATCATCCATACACAGAGAGCCAGATATAATTTCATAGGCTTCTAAGAATCCTCACGCTTGTGGACACAAACCCCGGGATGGAGGAAAACCAATCAACATATCTGGCAACTCAAGAAACTCACTAGTTATCTGAGAGATTCTCCTTGCCAGTTACTAATTGCTGATGTGTCCTTCAGTGTGCACGCCCATGGGTACTATAGTTCTACATGGGAGCCTTCCCCCAAGAAGCAGAAACATGGTTCTCTCTGACAAGGCTTTGTGATCGGCTTTCTGGCAGTGAGTTCATTCCCTCCTGCATTAGGGTGGGGTGGGGGGTGCCTTGAGGCTGAGGAGCTCGGGTCTCTCGTGTGCTGATCACTGGCTCTCTCTAACCTTAGCCCAGGGCTGGGAAGGTGGCTCAGTGGTAAAGCGCTTGCCTCGCATGCTTGAGGCCCTGGGTTCGATTCCTCAACACCCATAAACAAAAAACAAGCTGGAAGTGGTGATGTGGCTCAAGTGGTAGAGTGCTAGCGTTGAGCTGAAGAGCTGAGGGGCAGTGCCCAGGCTCAGAGTCCAGGGCCACGACTGGACCCAAAATAAAAAAAAAAAAAAAAACCAAAATCCTCTAACCTTAGCCCAGACAACCTCTATGCCCTGCACCCACACTTGTGACCTAGAGCTCCAGACCCCAAGGGGGAACAAGGCCAGGTATGTTTAACGAGTTGGCAAGTGGTGAAGAGGGATCACAAGACACCAAGGAAATCATAGGAGACAGCAGGTTAGTACTGGGAAGAGTAGTCCGGTTAGATTGCGCCTCACCACCCTATGCCAAAATAAACTCCAGGCAGATTAAGAGTTTCATGTAGGGGCTGAGGCCAGGGCTCAGCAGTAGAGTTCTTGCCTGGCATGTGGACACCCTGGCCTTTTCAGTCCCTGGTGGGAGGAAAATTGTATGTGTGCTTAAAAATAGAAGGAGTAGGAGAGCTGGGGACTAGTTTCTCACACCTGTAATCCTAGCTACTCAAGAGGCTGAGATCTGAGGATCAGTGTTTAAAGCCAGCCCAGGCAGGAGAGTCCATGAGACTCTTATCTCCAATTAATCACCAAGAAAGCCAGAAGTGGAGTTGTGATTCAAGTGTTAGAGCTCTAGCCTTGAGCCAAAAAGCTCAGACAGCATCTGGGCTCTGAGTTGAAGCCCCAGGACCAGCATGAGAGAGAAAGAGAGAGAGAGGGAGAGACAGACAGACAGACAGACACAGACAAAGAGAGAGAAATAGAGAGAGAGAAGCAGAAGAGAATGTGTCATCTCATGGAAAGTTTGGTATGAAAGCGCAGAGATAGAACAATACAAGATAATCTTCAGAGTTAAATTTTAGGCTGTGGGTATAGCTCTGCAGTAAAACACTTGCCTAACCTGTGTGATTCCTAGCCCTGGGAAGGGGGCAGGGAGAGATAAACTATCTGTGATGCATTATGATATCATAATTAAAATTATGTTGAATGACTAATAGGAAAAACCTAACAGCAGTCACATGGAGGGTTAATATCTTTAGTGTATCAAGTCTTTTGTTTGTTTTTGTGCCCATCCTAGGGCTTGAACTCAGGTCCTAGGCACTGTCCCTAAATTTCTTTTGCTCAAGGCTTAGTGCTCTATACTTGAGTCACATTGCCACTTCTGGCTTTTGTTCTCAGTAGTTTGTTGGAGATAAGAGTCTCACAGCCTCTCTTGCCCAAGCTGGCTTTGAACTGGGTTCCTCAGATCTCAGCCTCCTTAGTAGGCTAGGATTATAGGCATGAGCCACCCAGCACCGGGCCCATATCAAGTTCTTAATGTAAAGAATGCCCCCCCCCCGCTGAGCAAGTATCATAAACTGAGTTCACAGAGAGTGAACTACAGCTGGAAGCACGTGAGACAAGTCCTCTCCGAAATGCAAAGTGTCCAGACTACATTTCCCATTCAACAGGCACAGTTCAAGATGATGGCACTTTGCCATCTTGGGAGTGGAGAGAGAGACAGGGAGGCTCACCTTTGCCAGTGGGAAAGTAAACTGGCCTTTTCCAAGAAGCAATTTGTGTTATGAAAACTGTTTCTAGAATCTTCTGCCTGATCTCTTTGTCTATGGTCTGACCACAGTCTCTCCCCTTTGAGCAGCCTGTCTCCCAAGGCAGTGCCTTCTGCACCCCCTCTCCTCCCTTTCCTTCCTTCTCCAAGCAGTCAATCAGCCAAGTTCCACTTAGACTTCACTTTGAACACTCAGCCTGGCCAGCTTTTTCACTTGTGCTCCCACACCTGGAGTGCAGGGTGTGGTCCAGAAAGATCATCCAATGGTGTGGGTCAAAGCTTTTCTGGCCTTCCAGCTGAGCCGGGCTTTCCTTGGCTCCATTCCGCATCCCATTCTCCCCAGCCAGACTTTCACTTTCCCAGCCCGGACACACCCACTCTCCTTGGATGACCTGCCTCCAGATCTCCGGAGAACCTGGGGTTGCAGCTCTGTCTGGTCTCATGGGCAAGTCGGCCATGCGCCCTTCTTTTATGGCCCCGGGGTCCCCATCCTACCGCCTGACTGAGGCAGCCCTCCAACCTGGGTCCCCCCACTTTCCACACTGCCTTCACAGCCAGCCCCCCTCTCCACCGCCTGTCTTCTTGGGCTCCTCCCTCCCCTCCGTGCCCGGCATCTTGGCCTCCAATACCTGTCCTAGTTATTTTTGTATCCAAGGGCCCAGCCCAGCACAGCCACCCAATAAATATTATTTTAATGAGTAAGACCCAAGCCAGTCATAATCTTACATCAAGTTTTCTAGAATAGGAAAAAAAAATAGATACCAATATTGTTTTAGAGGAAAAAAAAACTATTGAAAATGGATATTGAAGGGTCAGAATAAGCTCACCCCTCATTTCCCTCATCGCCCCGACTTCTTCCCTCTCCAGCTTGGCCTCCACTCTCCTCTTTCTGCACCTCTTCTGTTCCCGGGGCCATAGCTGCCGCACTCACACCCCATTCCTGCGATTTCCCTTCCCTAGCAACTGACTCTTTTCTACTCCTGTTTGTTCCACTCCTGTCCTCCCTCCACTCCCTTTTCTTTCCTTCCTTCCTATTTATTTGTTCGAGATAGAGTCCCGTTATGTAATCCAGGCTGGCCTCGAACTCACAGTCCTGCATCATTCCTCTTGAGTACTGGGTTTGGAAGGAAGAAGCCCCCAGCACACCTGGCGAGGGACTCCTCTGTTCTCTGCTGCGGCCCTCCTCCATGCCCTGGGTGTCTGTCCTTTGCCTCGTCATCCTTTCTGTGGGAGCAGCTTTCCTGGTGGACTTCCCGACTTTCCTGAGCTCTACAGCGTGTTCCGCACCTCTCATCCAGGCACCCCTCAGTGTGTCAGGGCCAGACGCAACCCATGCCGACAAGGCCCGCCACGGTGTCCCCAACAGAAGCCTTCAACTCTGCATCCCACAGTGCCCACATCCACTGCCCTGCACAGCCTCCAGATTGTCTTTCAGCCAGGCTCAGGAGACCCTCGGTGGCCATCGAAAGTCTCACTTCCCACTCCCAAAGGCATGGGGACATGCCTCAGGAAGAGCTGTCTGTCCCAGGTCTCGTCTTCTCAGGCGCCTTGCCATTGCTCTGGGGCTCCAATAGGTCTCCCCTTTCCCATCTTGCAGACTCTTCCAAGAGACTCATCCACAGCCACCTGTGATTGATTTCCTGCTTGCTAGGTGCTAATCCCAATTAGGGTGGAGCAGCAAGTTCTAGAAGCACCGAGTTCTATGCTTACAGCTCCACACATTTTTCTTTCCATGTTCTAAGATCTCAGAGACCACAGAAGTTAAAAGTTTTCGTAGTTGAACATTGGTAGTTTTTTAAATGCCACGCTATCCTGGTATTCTCCGAGAAAATAGATCAAATTTCCAGTTTTCATGGTTCCTGATCTCCCTACACAGACACACTGAAGGTATAAAGTCAAAAACGACACCGGAGGTTAGAGGCATGGCTTAGTTGGTAGAGTGCTAGCCAGTGAACAAAAGCAGCAGGTACGGAGTTCAAGTCCTGGTCTCAGACCTTTAAACAAAAAATGCCACTGATTGGTGTCAGTCTAAAGGTGCTCTAACCTGAAGGTACCCAGGTACCTGCCCGCCCGCCCTGTGCCCCGCTCATCCTGCCTGGTCCCCTAGTCCAGGGTGTCTATATGCTGTGGGCAACAGTGCAGAACAGGATTGCTGGTCAGCATTGGAAGCTATTTAACCATTCTTCCTTGCCACTTTGATGGGTCAGCACAAATACATGGTCTTGGCTTCTCTTCATGTCCCCCTCTGCTCCCCACCCACAGGCCCACAGTGAGAGCTTGTTGAGATGAGTTCTTGTGAGCCTTTGACACTCAAAATATGTCTTTTCTTTTGAAGGAATGTGGCGCAGAAATGTAAAGTTGTCAGTTCTTCTCAGCACTTGGATGATTTGGTCTCAGCGTTAGCCATTATTCTTACTATTGCTCCCTGTATGTCCAGTTCCCTTTCCCCGCTTTAAGTTTACTTCTGGGCTGAGCATACTGGTTCACACCTGTAATCCCAGTTACTCAGGTGGAGATGGGGAAGATCATGATTTAAGACCAGCCCAGGCAAAGTTGCTAGCAAAACCCCATCTTAAATAATGATACCAGCTACATAGGGAACGTAAGTGGGAGGAATAAAGTTGGAGGCAGATTCTAGGCAAAAACACAACACCCTGTTTAAAAAAGGGCTACAGTGTGGCTCATGTGGATGAGCACCTGCCAGCAAGTGGGAGGTCCTGAGTTCAACCTAAATACCTCCACCACCACCCCTAACAAAATAAATAAATAAAATTACATCTTGTCTTTTTTACAACAATTTAGATGTTTTATGTTTTTCTTATCTAGCTTGTGGTTCTCTGAGTACCTTGGATCTAAAGTTTTTTTTGTTTTGTTTTCTTTTTTTGGGGAGGGGGTTGGTCAGTCATGGGACTTGAACTCAATGCCTGGGTGCTATCCCTGAGCTTTTTCACCCTGAGTGCTCTACCACTTTGAGCCACAGCTCCTCTTCCAGTTTTCTGGTGGTTAATTGGAGGTAAGAATCTCACTGATTTTCCTTCCCAAGATAGATGGCTTTGAACCATGATCCTCAGATCTCAGCCTCCTGAATAGCTAGGATGACAGGTGTGAACCACTGGTGCTTAGCCTGGAAAGCTTTTATGTTAACTCTAAAAATACTTCTGCCATGTTTTTTCTCTCTCACACACACATACTGGACTATTACATATGTGCCAGAATCATATTACTCCATGGATCACACAACTTTCTTCCGTCCTTTTCTCTCCCTGTGTTTTAATTGGAGTAACTCCTCATCTGTACATTTCTCAACCTTTTCACTCAGTACTTGCATGCATTCATTCTAGTTGTTATCGGGCCCCCATGAGACAATCCCAGTAAGTCGATTGTCTCTGGGTCTAGTTCTGTTGACTGTTTTCTCCCCATGGTCACTTGTGACTGACTGCCAGCTGTGTGTGGATTGTGAGAATGGCATACTCCTGCCAGCTGTGTGTATGGGGACTTGAGCCACTCTTGTCTATATTTGAGTCTGGGTTGTGCTGTGGCCACAGGAAGGGCATCAGAATTTGCCATGGGGCAGGCCTTAATTTGAGGGTGCCTGCACTCATTGTCAGCACGCTTGCCTTTCTGCATGGTGGAAGGTCATTACCTGATGCTCATTTTCAGGTTTCTCGATCACCCTTCAGGAACCTCCAGAGAAGAAGAAGCAGTCTCCTGCTCTG